CAAAATTGACCATTTTTTTCCATTTTATAAAAAACTGGAAATCTCACTTTGAAATTTTTGATTTGGCGATCTCATGGAGGTACCTACGTTTAAGCGTCTAATGATTATTTTTTTTTCTTTCAGATTTAACAACTTAAGTCTTTGGTAATTTCAACCAAGGTCAGATTAACAATCAAACAACGTGCTAAAGTTTCAAGAGTGCAATTGGAAAAATTGCCCATAAATTCAAACAAACTGGGTCGGTGGCAGATGTGAAAACACCATTGCATGCTCGTTTATGCCGCTCAGCTGAAAACATTGGTGCAGTGCATGAGAATGTGGCCGAAAATCCAAACACCTCTATTCGTCATCGCACCCAGGAATTGAACCTCTCTGCAACAATGTTACATCATTTCCAATTGCACTCTCGGTTGGTCATTTATGTTGACCAAAGAAATTTTAAAGTCCGCAAAATGCATTTCTGTTTGAACGTCCATTTTCGTAATAGACTTTGATAACTTTAACATGGTGATTGTTAATCTTTCCATGGTTGAAATTGCCAAAAACTTAAATCTGAAAGAAAAAGAAAAAAAAATCATTAGACAATTAAACTTAATTCAAATTTAAAATCAGTCCCAGTTATTGGAACACTCTTTACATCCCCAAATTAAAGCAGTTCCATTAGAATTTGCTACTTATTTTTCTGGAACATTCCTCATACATTATTTGCATGTTCTATCCATTAAATCTCAGCCTTCATCTGCAGAGCACCACATTTCTGTTGTTTCAAGTCCCTTCTCCATCAGTGAGATTGTTGACATTCACTGCTATTTAGATTAAATTAGTTACCATAAAGGAAAGCAAGTCATTCGTTTTAAGCAACTTCCCTTAAATGCATTTTCTGTTGTCTGTTACAACTAAGACAGTTTACTTTTTCTATTTGTTTCATTCTGAGGTCTTCAATTCATAGCTCACAGTCACACCCAACACAGTGTTTTTCAATCGGAGCGCCCGGGCACACTACTGCACTCTGAAAAGTAACCAGATGCACCCCAAGTTAACAGAAGAGTAACTTATGAATTATTTTTATATTAAAAAAAAATAATCTTTATTTTTAAAAAGTTAGAGACACCAAGCACATGGCTTCCATGTTTAAGTCAAGTCTTTATCCTTTGGTAACTGGATACTAAATTCATTAGAAGGTACGGACAACCCTCTCCCTTTTGCCTTCTTCAAGGGATTTAAATCTCTCATTATATCAGCTTTTCTAAAAAAAAAAAAAAATAGCACATTCTTTATATGAAAACTCTATATTCTTTAAATGAAAACTCTACTGCTAATGTTATTTGAGAATTCTAAAGCAAAAATTCATATTTTCAAATTTTAGGACTAATTTTTCCTTATTAAAATTTAAAAGGCACCACAGAGTTTTACTTATTCTACAAGTATGCCCTGGAGTAAAAATGGTTGAGAAACACTTCCCTAACTGATAACCACACATTCTGTCCTCTTACAATGAGTCCTTTCTTCTTGCTTTCATTATCTTTTTAAATAGCCTCGTCAGTTCTATACTCTCATATAGATGTCATTGTCATTCATAGCACTCGACTCCTTCAGGAATGTCTACAACTACGTACCACCAACTTTAACAACTGTCCCTTATTAGTAAAGTCAGCCCTTTATTTAGCTCTTTTTTTTTTTTTTTTTTTTTAATACTAACTGTACATTCAAGACAAGCCCTAAGATCCATTCAAGATAGAGTGAGGTTATCATGTGGATATAAGATTGTAAGTATGCATTCTACCATGTTATCAAACACTATGGCATGCAGTCTACCATGCTATCTAACACTATAGCGTATCCTTCAGATTGTTCTCTTTTAAAAATGTGACTGCTGTTTCTTCGGTCAAGGCGACATGTCTATAAAATTCTTTCAGCAACATTTTAATATGAAGGAGGTTATTCAACTGATGTTAGCATTTTCAGACCTAGAGGAGCTCTGATGTGGTAGCTTCATTTCCTTCCTTTTATGTGGACAGGGCACATGAGGAGTAATGTTATTCTAGAGTTCATAATGGTAGACTGCAGGTGGATGGCATGAGAGCTGAACTGAGGTCACGGTATAATTCATAGCGAGGTAGACCACATACTATACTAGTAAATGAGGTTGACTGCATAATATAGGAGCACCAATTGTAAAAGGAGAGAGTAAGTGCAGATTGTAAGATAGATAATAGTTGGCCGTAGATTTGAGGTTAAATTGTAGTGATTGGGGAAGCATCCACTTGGGAGTTTTCTCCACACAGTAGCTCTTTTTGGGAAGAAACCTTCTGGGTAGAACTTCCTTCTTATTAATGAAATATGAAGGAAATAAGGGTGATTTGGCCTTGTCTCTATGGCATGGTAGCCTTAGATGTTAATGTATGATCTGGTGGAACTCTGAAATGTCCTGTCCTGGGTATCACAAATTACATCCGACAGCAAGGCCTCTGAAGATGAGGTTATAAGCAGCATGGAACCACCTCTTAATTACTGGTGTTCCTAGGTCCATCCTGACCCAGGCTAGTACCACCTGTTAGGCTCCCAGCTATGGACAAATAGTTAACCCCCAAACTGGGGTTAACACACTATGGAAATATAAAAATTGGTTTTAATACCAGAAATACCTTGTAAAAATTTATTACCAGCAAAACATTTTTTAACACAAAAGATATTACGCTATACATTTTTTGAAAAAAATATTACCAGCAATAGATTTTTGAAGAAAAAAATATTACCAGAAATAAAAAGAAAACAGCAACTAGCGAGTAAATTCAAGCTCTCCCAACTGGTATTCCAACCTCGAGTCGTTCCTTCTTGAGTTCTGTCTCAAAATCGCAATAACAGACTTTTCTAGCCGCCAACCATGAACGTCACTCAAAGCACCCTGCACTGGGAAAAATTAGTTGCTTTTATATTTGTCCATATACCCATAATCCCTTGCATCTTCATGCGATCCCATAATTCATTGCATCTTTATTGCATAAAAATGCAATGCAAGTCCCCCCTCATTCTTTTATGTTATCTGGCTGAGGACGGATTACGGCAGAGCAGTAAGTGCTTTTTTCTCCCTCATTTCAACTGCAGTAGCTTTGCATGCTAAGCAAATAAGGGCTCTTTTTTGGCGGGGACAAGGCAAGTCGCAACCAGTTGTGCTCGTCCCAGGTTCTGTCTCATCACGTCTGCCACAATTACCAGCAACAGCTTTTTGAAGAAAAAAATATTACCAGAAATAAAAATTGTTGGCATTAAATAACTCATTGAGGTTGACATGCCATAAAACAAACCAAACCAAATCTGGAGATTTGCCATGCATAAAGAGATATACTAGCAATAGGCTTGCAATGATTTATCTTTGTGAAAGTGATGGATGGGTGGAAAATACTCCATCGTCCACAAGTTGATGAAAAATATTTTCACTGTTGACTCATTCCCTGTGGATGATTAGGATTTCAGACATTGCATTTCTGTAACAGGACAACTTAAGCCATATCCTGTTACAACACTCTTCTCCTGCGATCACTGAAGTTAAGCAACATCAAGCTTGGTCAGTACCTAGATAGGTGACCACCAGATTTTGTATACTTAAATGTGCGGGTGGTGTTATGAATAACGGCTCAGAACTGGAAACTCAAATTCCAGTTCCAGTCAGGTTTGTTATATTTACTTACATGCAAATTCTCTTGGAAAATGTACAAATCTACCTTTTCTCCCCCATAGTGATGGGTTAATTAGTAGGACATGTGTCAGTAAATGATTATTATCTCCCAAAATTCTTACAATCTAAAAATATTTTCTGGTTTTAAATAACTTACAAACGGTCAATAAACTGTAAAAAAAAACAAATCGATCAATAACTGGATATTTGGCAAGTGCCACCTTCCTCTGGAATGTGTGAATATGTAGTAATGATTGCTATCTTTTAAATTGTTTTGTAAATTTTTCTTTTCAAAATTTGCTTTGGTTGCAGCTCTTGAGACGTTTGTGGAATATGCCAGTGCGTACCCAAATGCGCCCAACAATGTGGACATTGTGTCTGAGTTCTGTGAACTTTCCAGTGATGGGAATGAAATTCTAACATTACTCAATGCTCAAAGACTTAACCCTTCAATAGTAAGTTCACTTTGGCCTTTCTTTATTTGTCTTTTGCAAATCTGAAATCTGCAAGAAGAAAAATGTCTTTTATGTTTTTATAACGACTCTATATACTTGTGTATAAGTCAACTTCCTTCCTTCCTTCCTTCCTTCCTACTCCTCTTCTTTTCCTCCTTGCTACTCCTCTTCTTTTCCTCCACCTTGCTACTCTTCTTCTTTTCCTCCACCTTGCTACTCCTCTTCTTTTTCTTCTTTTCTCTCCACCTTGCTACTCCTCTTCTTTTCCTCCACCTTGCTACTCCTCTTCTTTTCCTCCACCTTGCTACTCCTCTTCTTTTCCTCCACCTTGCTACTCCTCTTCTTTTCCTCCACCTTGCTACTCCTCTTCTTTTCCTCCACCTTCCTACTCCTCTTCTTTTCCTGCTTTCCTTCCTTAAATTAAACATAGTATGACAGCTCTCGCCTTTTCCCTTGTCTAAATAAAGTCAAATGGCATGAGCAATATTTGAATTCAACACTAAATAAAGAACAAACCTATTAGGCACCCTAATATCTTCATGTTGCTTGATATTTAGCAATAAAATAATTTTCTTTTTCAGATTGCTGCCATATTTAATGTGCTTCAGTATATTCTCATCAGAGTTGTTGACGATTTAGTCGTTTATAAGAAACTGGCTCATAACATTACACAGAAACTGCTGACAACCCACTTGGAGAAAATCTATAGAATGCTGAAGATTTCACAAAAGTCAAAGCCTGTCAAGATCACCCTTAAATTACTGACTGCCATTGTTATCCTCAGTGAGAATTCAGCCCGAAATGTCCTTAACAAATTTGATTTTGATATCAGTGGGCTTATCAATAGCCTTCTGGAACGACGCAATGTAATGGTGAGTTGAAAAGATTGTGGTCATTTCTTTCCTTTTTAAGGTTTATTAAAAGATGAGGATAATTTGAATCATGTATATATGATCTGTGTATCATCATAATTATATCAGAAATAATTTGACTTTTGTCATTTCTCATTCATCAGGGCCCAGACATGATTGACTGTATTAATTACATAATATATGTTTTATTATTTTACATATGTGTATTTATATATACTAAATAAATTTTCCAATTTAGAATTGTTTATACTTGCATTGGGTTCTCTACAACAGCTGAAAACACAAATATGTTATTTTTTTTTAAATATTTTGAATATTTATGTAAATTATAACATTAAAAACTCATTCATATTAAATTAAGTTTAAGTTTTATACTTTATATATTTTTATATTTTAAAAACTTAGGAAGATAATTTAAAAAAAAATTTTTTTTAATCGTTTCACCCCATGAAAGACAGTAAAGCCACTAAGACACAAGGGATTACTGAGTCAGAAGTAATAAGAAAAAAAGAGAAACATTATTAAGGAGTGAGAACAATAGAAGAGTAATCAAGAAGACAGTAGATAACAATTAACATTGCATTTGAATTTTTGAATATCAAAGTTGACTGGAAAGCATGGAACCGAAAAAGAGTTCCCCAAGTGAGGAGTGTGAGAAAATAAGCTGTTAGCATAGAGCATATGGTTACATCTACCAATTTCAACAGTGAATTAATGAGACCTTGCCACCTGTCTTGTACTGTGTCTAAATTTGTGAAGTCTATGTTCTATAGTAAAGAGTTCATCCAAACAAATACCATTTACAGAAAAGGCACAGGGAAGTTAAGTTACAGCAGTGGAAAAATGACTGAAGCCGAGATGCCAGGTCAAGACCAATCATATTGCTGATTCTTCTTTTTTTTTTATTAAGAATCTCTAAATATGCAGCAGGTGCACTGGACAATAATAGGTGGCAGTAATTTTCAAAGCATGGGTGATTTGTAAATAGGTTTAAGGGAGAGAAATTGTTTAGCTCGACACATTGAACCAACTTTCTCAGCAGCATACCTACTGATGGATTCAGTATAAGCTAAGCCTGAAAAGGTGCAACGAGTCGTTCTCATGGATGTTAGTTTCAGCCATGATGATGGGAGGCAGGAAGGGATCTATCAGGTGATTGATAGAAGTTTCATTTTAGAGGCATTAAAATTAACAAGCTATTCCTTGCCACAGTTAACAACAGACAGTAGGTCATTTTTGAGACAAGCTGCCAATTTGACCTTATTGAACTAATCAGACTTACTATCAAGACAGGAGAAAATAGTTGCGTCATCAGGAAGGTCATTGATGAAATTTGAGAACAAAGTCGAAGGATAGAGCCCTGGGGAACACTGGCATTGGTACAAAAAGATCTAGAAGAGCAACTGTTCAGGGACAACTTTTTAAATAATTTAGTCAAATCTTTATTTTGAGGTCATTTATTTAATTTCTTTGTTCAGTTAAAAAAATTGTTGACCATCTGAAAAACAATTTTTAAGAGCCCATAGCATCTAAACTATTTAGAACAAAGGTAAAAATGAAGCCCAAAATAGTTTATTTGCATAGAAAATTATAAGTGCATCAACTTTCAGCTTCATATTTTTGTAAGTATCAAATTTATAAAGTGCCAAATTTGGCAAAACAATTTGTTCAAGATAAATAAGCCAAGACAGAAGTTTGCCTACAAAATGAAACTTACTGTCACATGATCTTCAGACATGTAAGAATTTGTTGTAAAAATATAAAAAATTTTCTTAAACTGCCTAACTTGTCAGCTGATGATATGAAAATAGACAATTTTAAGATTTAAAAAAAATTCATTTGTTTGTCATTCAATACTGATAATCCTGTAACCGAAATGAATCTTGTTACTGAATAGAAATAATCTGTTAGGTCAATAAATGACTAATTTGGATGCTGTATCTGACATACTTTGGGAATTAGAATCTCTCAAAGTGGACAGTGTCTTTCTGAATTTTGATATATTGGCCATTTTCATATTCTTATAAAAGTATGTAAGAAACATGCAAGCTGCTTATAGTTTTGTAATCTACAGCAAATGTTAACCATTGTCACCAAGTTTCAAATCTGCACATGCTATATTCTTGGGACTAGGAGTGTCAGAAGTTCATTGAAAGCCTTGTTTAGCGAAACAATAAATGCAGTGAAAATTGAAGATGCCCTGATTTTAAAACTATTAAAAATACAGATCTAATATTTGAAATTTATCAATAAATTTGATCAAGGAACACAGGTGAGTTTCCCAGAATTTTCTGAGTGGGCCACTTGTGACCATTTTTTTATTTGACATGGAATGAACCCCTCCTCCACTCCACTTGACCTCATTGTCTGCTTTTGTTTTCATACACGCTATCTCTGATATTGAGCACTTTTACCCATAAATATACTGTACCTTAAAAACCATATTTTTAACTCATATATATATATATATATATATATAGATAATATTAGTGGAAAA